CCCCCCCCCCCCCCCCCCCCCCGCCCCCCTCCCATTGCCTGCCGGCTGGACCCTGGGGGCCAATAGAAGGCGCAGTTACCCTGCTCCTAGCCGCGTCCGCGGCCAGGGGGGCGGCGACCGCAGGGAGGGGGGCAACTCATTTGCCGGGTGCCACATTGATGCTGGGGCCCCGGGGCCCGGGCGCGGGGCCGAGGGGTGGAGGCCTGGACAGGAAGACGCCCGGCCTGGCCCACAACGCGCGGGGCGCTCCCTTCTGTGCCCTCCCCCTCCCCGGCGCCTTTCCTGTCCCGCCCGCTTAGCAGGAGGGTCTGTGTTGTCCAGCGCCGAGGTCGGCGTAGGCCCTTGTCAGCGCCAAGGGGCGCCGGAAAGGTCCCTGGGAAATGTCCGGCTACCAGCTCGGCGAGCTGACTCCGCCATGATGAGCCTCAGCCACGGACGGATGGGTTTCACCTCCTCGCCGTGGGGCCGAAGCAGACGGCATTTGGCGCGCCCCCGCCCCCCTCTCATCCGCGCCGGAATCAGGGACAAGCGTTGCGCGACCGCGCCTGATCGGGCGTGTGGAGATGTGTGTATGTATATGCACATGTGTGCGTGTGTGTGCGGATGCGTGCTCGCGCGCACAGGCCCCGGGGTCAGCCTGGCCACCGCGCCCACGGCCCCCGCTCGTGTCAGGCGCGCACCAACAAACGACCGGTCACGCTCGAGGCCGCGCTCGAGGGAATGCCGCACACAGCCAGACTCGTCCCCCCCCCCCACGCCTCCCCTCAGGGCATGGTTAAGAGCATGTGCCTGGCGCCGACTGGCGGCGCCGCTACCGTGCGGCGTCGGCGGCGCCGGCGGGGGGGGGGGCCAGCCGACCTGGCCGGAAGGCCCAGCCTCCCCACGCTCCAGGCCGGCCCCAAGCGAGCGAGCGGCGCCCAGCTGGCGGCCGCCACGGGGGCCAGCGTCCTGGGGCATGTCCCGGTGCACCATACAGACCGACCCGGGTGGAGGGGGGGGGGGGCGTGTACGCGTTGACGGAAAAGCCCAGTGGCCGGCGCCCGGAATACGGCGCTCCCGGGGGCCTCCCCGCCACCCCGCCCCCGGCCAGCACGCGCCCCCGTGCCGATGAGCACGGGCGCTTTAATTTAGCCAAGGGACATGGGCCCCGGACACACCTGCCTCCCGGGGGCCCGGAGGCGTGCCCCAGTCGACCCCAGGGGCCACGCTACACAGCCCCGGAGCGACGGGGCTCGCGTAAGTCCCGGGGCCGGTTCCGGCACACACCTGGCGATCCACCCCTGCGGCGAACACGCGCCCAAAAGCTGGTCGACAGCCGCCAGCACCGGCAGGCGCATCCCGAGGGGTCCTAGGGGGGCCCCTGGCCGGTCGGCCCCAGATGCTGGCCATAAACAAATGATTGGAAGCCATTGCATATTGCCGGCCAAATGGGCCTTCCGGCGAAACGGGGCTTGGCCGACAGTGCGACCCGCGGGGGGGGGGGGGCGCCCGTCGCAGTCGCTGCATGTGCATGCGCGCCCGTGCGCGCGCGCGCGCGGGCACGCGTGCCCCCTCAATCTTCGTGCACGCCTCCGTCGGCCCTCCGGGCTGTGTAGCATACCAGCCAGCTGAGGACAACCGGCCCACTGTCTTGAGCTCGGTGCTTCCCGGGGCTCTGGGGCCCGAGGGGTCCAGGCCGCGTGTAAATTCACCCTGGGCCAGGGCGCCCCCATGTGCAGGCTTTATCATCCGGATGCGGCGCCACCGCTTGCGTTTCAGGGGGCCACTCGGGCACCCGGCGGGCGCAAGCCCGCACCCGAGATTGGCTCAACTGCCAAAGAGGACACCTTTCAAGCACAGCGCCCGCCGTCCGGAGCCGATAGCGGTGTTGGTGGTGGCAATGTGCATGTGTGGATTGTGTATGTGCGGATGTGCATGTGGAGGGGGACGGCTCGGTTTGATGCGCAGACACTCACCGGATTGACATCTCCGAGGTCCGCGTTGGAAGCACGCGAAGCACACCCCTCGAGCTGTTTCTGGATGATGGTCAAATTCAAAGGAACACCGATTGGCACGGGGGAAAGGACGGCGGGGCGTCCCGGCAAAGGGCTCGCGGACCCCCCGGCACGGCAGCCGGGCACCGCTCGGGGCTGGGGGGGAATGAGAAGACAGAGTTCCCCGCCCCGGGCCCCCGGGGACCGACCAGGCCGACAATTGTGGGCGCGGAATGGACCACAAAACAGGCAGCTTAGCCTCCAATGCTTCGCTGTTCGTGCTTCTCGGAATGCCATTACACGATCACGCCGCGGCCGAGGGTTCATCAGGGTCAGGGCATTCATAACCCACAGTGTCCCCCCGCCGGTGATGGTCCACAATCCCCCGCCCGGGCCCCGCGGCCCGTCTTTTGCCCGGCCCCCCTCGAGCCGCACGAAAGCGAGCCAGCCCAGGAGCACTGTGCGGATGGGCGGTTTTCTCCCCTTTTTTATTTATTTATTCTGCCCACCCCCTTTCCCGCTGTCCCCTACGGGTGCTTTCCCCTTCGCCTGCGACGGAAGTGCATGTCTCGGCCTTTTGCATCCCCGCTCCCGTGGTTGGCTTTAGCCCCTGGCCACATGTCTCCCCCCCCCCCCCCCCCGCCCCCCTGCCCTCCCTCTTTGCCCCTGCCTTGAGCGAGCCGCCTGCACGATTCCTGATCGCGATGCGGCATCTTCCCGATGCGACACGGCGTGCCGGGGCCGACCCGGAGAAGGCCCCTTCTTGGTCACGCGAGCCGCCCGGCCCTCCTGGTGCGAGGCACTTTCACGACCATGGCTGCGTGTCCACACTCGTACGGGCGTGCACTCAGCCATGGATGCCCCTGGGCCTCTCCCTCGCCCACTGTCTGGGCTCGATGCTCTCTCAACACTTCCTCCATGCGCGCTCCGCCATTCGGGGGGGGGGGGGGGGGGGCAGAGTTCCCCGCCCCGTCTCCCCACACCCAACTCCCCCGCCCTCCGCTGCGGTGGCGCAGCCCCCCCCCCCCCCCCCCGCCGCCCCCCCCCCCCCCCCCCGGCCCCGCCCCCCCCCCCCCCGCTCGCGCCCTGCCCCCCCCCCCCCCGCCCCTCCTCCCCCCCCCCCCCCCCCCTCCCCCCCCCCCGCTCGCTCCCGCCGCCGCCCGCCTCGGCCGGTCCGGCGGGGGGGCGGGGGGGGGGGGGGGGGGGGGGGGGGGGGGGGCGATCCCGGCAAGATCGTGTCGCACCCCAATTCGTCCGGCCTCGAGCGCGATGGCTGGCGCGCCCCATCGCACCCCGGGCGCTGCCCCGCCCCCCCCCCCCCCCTCACCGTGGCAAGGAAAGCAGGTGCTTCCGAAGGGTGTCTGCGGCCGTGCCCCACCGCCGCTCCGGAACCCGGACTCTGGCACCCTACAATGGACGTGGAAAGCGGTCCCGAGATATAACTCTGTGTCTGTGTATTAAAAATGGTTGGTATATGGGGGGAGACGGAGGCACGGATCGGGGGAGGGGGATGTGCAAAGTTCGGTGTGTCTCCCCGCCGAGGTATCGCCGGAGCGTGGTATGTGTATGTGCATTTGTGTGGGTGTGCGCGTGGGGGCATGGAGAGAAGGAGTGACTTTCCAAAGCAAGGAGAACCTAAGGGCACAGCGGCCGCTCGCGGCACCGATGGCGCGCCCCTTTTCAGGGGCCCCATCCAACACGCGTGGAGGATGATGTGTGCTGACCATGCAATGGGCATGCTCCTCTCCTCCGTGCGCGCGGCTGCCGGGTTCTTCCTTTCGGAATGTCTCTCTCCCTCTCTCCCTGTCTGACTCTGCCGCGGCGATGGGCCCGCTCTGGCATGTACAAACGCACGCCCGGGCGATGGCCCCGGCAGGAAACCACATTTGTGTGTCCGTTCACGGTCACATACACACAAACAAACATGCAAATACGCGCGAAAAATACACGAGGGGGCGGATTGACTCGGGCGCGGACAGACATGCACAGACAAACAAGGGCACGCACGGTCGCTCGCGAGCGCGAGCGCGCACTCAATTGCGCCGAGCCGTGTCCACAGCGCGCCGAACTGGCCGCCCCCCCACCCTGGCCTGGCCTCAGCCGCGTCCTCCCCGAGCAGGGGCAGACCCGGAAAAAGACCATGCGGCGACCAAAGGGCCTCCCGCCTCGGCGACCGCATTCACTGGCGGGCCGCGCCTCGCCAAGGCCCCCCCCCCTGCCGCGCACCGTGGCCCCGGTGTGGCCAGGCTCGCTGTGCGTGGAGAGGGGGGGGGGCGCGAAGGCACGCCCGCCGGATGTGCGGGCCGGTGTGGAGGCAGACTACCGAACATGTCGAAACGCGCTGTCCGGCTGTGCTGCACAAAAGGGGCTAGATCCCCCTGCGGGTGGCGGGCTCGGGGTCAGGTTTCTCGGATTCTCTCGACACACTGTCACTCGACAGCTCGCTCTCCCTGCTTTCCCGTGTTCTCGCTCTGTCGCTCTCTCTCTCTCTCTCTCTCTCTCTCTCGCGCGCGCGCGCTCTCTTTCTCTCTCTCTCTCTTGCCGTCTCCCTAGCTCGCTTGAGCTGGCTCTTTTCTCCTCTCCGCCCTCGGTGGTGGTGCGCGGATGGAGGCATGCGCGCATCATCCGGCTTCCGGCCGTACGGCGAATGTGGTGTTTTTCTTTGCGGTCGCCCCGGCCCCGGGGGAGCCCGGCGGGCTGACGCGCCACACTCAAACGCGCCACGCTTCGGCAAGAGGAGGAGGAGGCGGAGGCAGAGCCGTGGTAGTGGTGGTGGTGGTGGTGGTGGTAGCGATGGTCATTGTGGTTGGAGTTGTGGCGACGGCGGCGGCGGCGGCGGCGGCGGCGGCGGCAAAGGCCGGGACGGAGCAGCGACGGCTACGGCGGCCCTTAGAGAGTGGCGGCCAGGGCGGCGACGGCGGCGGCGGCACCGGCCACCACCGCGGTGGCGGTGGTCGACGTGCTCAGGGCAGCGGCGCTGTTGATGGGCCACGGGGTCGGGCCGACGGTCGGGGTCGGGGTCGGGGTCGGGGTGGGGGTGCCGCTGCCGCAGCCGACCAGGCTGACGTTGGGGTTGTACTGGCGGGTGCAGGAGTAGTTGTTGGCGTTGAGGCTGCTGACGGCCGCGAAGTTGGCACACTGGGTGATGTGGGCCTGGATCTCGTTGACGCAGAAGGCCTGGTTGGTCTCGAAGAGGGAGTACACGCGGCACAGGGCATGGCGGTAGTGCGCCTCAATGCAGGTGGTGGTGCAGTACTCGTTCCAGTTGGAGTTGGCCAGGTAGGTCTGGCAGGGGGCCCACGAGGGGCTGACCTGGCTGGCGGTGGCCGAGCAGTTGAAGCTGTTGCTGTTGTTGGAGGCGTTGTTGCCGGCGACGTAGTTGTAGTTCAGCGGGCAGCCATACTCGCAGTTGAGGTCGGTGGTCCAGACATAGGAGTCGACGAGGCTGCTGCAGCGGGTCTTCTCGGCGTTGAAGAAGTTGGTGCAGGCCTGGTTCAGGCTGATCGAGGTGTTGCTGACACGCAGGCGGGTGCAGACGTCGTGGCGGTAGCGCCACTCGAAGCAGGACTCCTGGCACTGGACCGCCAGCGTGGAGGAGTTACACTCGGACACATGGCGCTCGATGTTCTCCATGTCGGCGGTGCCGCAGTCGGTCAGCGGGTTGACGCTGAACTTGGCGCCGGTGATGTCGACCCCCTCGACGGCGGCTGTGCCGGCAGGGGTCGGGAGGGGGCGGGTGTTATTTTGCTCACCATGTCAGCGCAAGGGCATCGGCGGGTGTGCAGCCGCTGGCCGGGGGCGCGGGCGAGAAACAACAGGCGCTGGGCGAAAGGGGCGAGGGAGGCATCGGGCGGGCGGGCGGGCGGGGGGGGGGGGGGGGTGCGTACCGCGGGAAGCGCCGATGGCGAGGACAGCCAGAAGAGCAGCGACGACGAAGGCACGCATGGTGGATCGGGTTCCGGGGTGGGGCGGGAGGCGCGAAGGGCGGTGGTAGTACCGAGCAGACAAGATGGTTGCCGGCGCTTGGAGTGTGGGGAGGGGGATTTGGTGCTATGTGGGTGGCGTCCTGGGTGTCGGCCGGGGGGGGTGAGTCTTTTATACCTGCCGCCTGGGGCGCCGGCGCGAGTGGGCGCGCGCGCACGGGCCAGATGACATCCGTGGTGTGGCTCTGACGAGCTTGGGATGCCGTGCAGGGTGGACCGTGTGGCCGGGGGGCGCAGCACCGCGGCACGCGCCAGGCGGCCAGGCCCCAGCGACAGGGCAGGATCGGCGGCCCGGCGGCGGACACCAGGGGTGGGTGGCTGGACGCGGCACTCGCCCGAAAGGAGGCGGTGATGCGGCTGGTGCCCGGCTGTGGACAGACGCCGGGCCAGGAGCAAATACACAGGCACACACAAACACGCACACACGCACCGGCGCGCATGCGCGCCCCCCGACGATCCCACCGGCCCGGGCCCCGGGAGCTCCTCGGGACGCCGGCCGGGCTTGTCCCCCGACCGGATGCCCAAGCCGGCCCGCCGGCATGTCCCCCGGCCATGGCTATGGCTGCTCGCTTGCAGGGCCGGCCCGCATGGATCGCTCCCTGGGGCGGGCCGCGCCCGCCGGGTCGGTGTCCTTCCCCCGCTCCCCCCCGCTGCCCCCCATCAACTCGCCAACAGGAAGGGGGTCACCCGCCCGCCGGCAGCCAGCGGCACTGGAAAGAGCGGAAAATTCACCCCCTCCCGCCCCTCCCCCGCGGCTGCGCAGTAGAAGCCCCCCTCCCCCGCCCAGGCATGAGAAAGGAATGTCCGTGTCGCTTTGTGCGCCCCCCCCGCCCTCCCGCCCCGCCCCCTCCCCCCCCCCCTCCCGCCGGACATGCACATTGGCCCAACGCTCCTGCGGTCGCCTGGAGTGGGGTGTGCGTGCTCCCCCCTTGCGCCTTGCCGGCGGCGGCAGGGGGCCGCCCAGCAGCGGCCGGCCGGTGCGCTCCGGCCTGCCCCTCGCCGCGGCTGCACCGTCGCCCTGCCGGCCTTCCCGGAGCCCCGGCCACCATGGGCCCGGTCTCCCCTCGGTGCCCCCGCCTGCCAGGCAGTGGGACGCCGGGGACCCGCAGCCTGCCGGCCGTGGACAAAACCCCCGATTGGGCGGCCGGTGACTCGGGCCCCGGGCCAAGGTGACCTCACCCGGGAGCCGGGCCATCGTACTCCGGGGGCTGATGTGATGCAAGGGCCGGGCTTGTTGGGCCGGCCCCGATGCCGGCCATGCGGCCGGGCGCTTGCGCCCCGGAATCAGAAGCGCCGCACGTGCGCGGCCGTCGCGCTACCCGCGCACTTATCGACCTGCGCGAGCGCATGCCGAGGGTGTAATGCGGGCCCGATAGGCCGGCGGCCAAATGGACCCGTGGAAAGTGCGGCACCCTCGCGCGCATGGCCACGCACGTACCTCGACACCCCCGGCACCCATGGCAAGGGTGATGCCCGCGGCCATCTATCATTGACCGCACCCGATAGGGCGAGCCTGCCGCCATGAGGGGCCGGAAGGGAGGCGCGCCGTTACCCCTCTCCCTCGCCCGGCGGGCGCCCGTATTCCACCCTCGAAGGAGGGGCCCTCGATCTAATTCTGCCCACAGCCCGACAAGGCGACATAGGGTCCGACGAGGGGGGAGCGCACTCAGCGCCCCCGCCCCCCGCCCCCTCAAAGCTGGCCCCCCAACATGGACCATAAGCCAAGCTCGCCGCCCACCTGCCCCCCCACCCCCCTTTTCGCCCTATTCCAGGCGCATTTGCGCCTCCTGCCACCCGGACATTCTTTGTGCCCCCCCCCCCCCCCCCCCCCCCCCCCCCCCCCCCCCCCCCCTGCCACCCGGACATTCTTTGTGCCCCCCCGCCCCGCCCCGCCCCGCCCCGCCCCCCCTCTCGTCCTCTCTGCCTTGTTCTCACACATGCCCACGGCCGGGGATGGCGCGCGCGCGCGCACGCTCAATTGTGGGTTGATTGCAACCAATCGCCTGGGCTTAACTAAGACGAGGCACGTGACAATGCCTGAGAGATAGATACTGCCAACGATTGGAACAGGAGATCTGACTGGTTCTGGAGGTGCGTGGCGCAGGCGCCAACGTACGGGTGGAGGGCCCCGTGCCGCGCCGTCCCCCCGGCCGGTTGCTCAGGGTGTCCCTCGGTGGAGGCATCATCGGCCGGGGCCAGGTGCCGGTGGCAGATCCACCGAAGCCATAGCCGGGCGGCATCCAGGTGCCGGGCAGGATCGACGCTTGCCGAGGCGGCAGCGGCATCCAGACGCGGGCGCTTCGACGAGGGGGCGGCAGCCCCCTGGCCGGTGTTGAAGCCCGCCGCCGCCGCCGCCGCCGCCGGCGACAGGTCCAGCGAGTAGAGGCGCCCGGCACGCTCGAGATGCTGTGTTACCGGGGCCGAGGTACCGCCTCCGGGCTTGTCACTCGGTGGCTCGAGCCACGGCTGCAGGACGGGCCCGGCGGAGCCCGGGACAGCCAGCAATCCGAGCGTTCCCAGGGCCGAGCAAAGCCTCGCCGGCAGGTAATCCTGCTGCCACAGGGCTTCCAGGCTTGAGTCCGGGCTTTCGAAGAGGTACTGGCCAAAGTCCAACGGGCAGGGAGAGTGATCTGGCCGAGCGGACGCATCGAAGAAGGAAGGCCGAGGAAAGATGGAATGGGAGATCCGTGTGTGTGTATGTGTGTGTGTGTGTGTGTGTGTGGAAGGGGGCGGAGGGGGTGGAGGAAGTTAGCGAACACAGGAGACGGCCCGCACAGGTGACTCTCGAGGGCAGGAGGCCCGGCAGAGAAGGAGAAGGCAGGGCATGATGCCCGGACGCACCGACATCCGAAAGGGCTGATGACAGGAAGGCACCGAGTGTGGTGAAGTGCCGCTCCCCCGGGGACCCAGCAGGGCAGGCGGCTGCGGCCCGTTGGAGGGCCTCGATCACGGCATCGCGCCCGGCAGCCAAGTCCACCCGGAGGTCGATATTGTCATGGGGATTGAAGGACCGCCGCAGGGGATCGGCGTTGTGACGGGGCCTGCCAGTCCCGGTGGTGGGGACCAAGGCATCGCCGGCCCAAGCGGCCACCGATGACGGCGGCACAAACCCATACTCAGCCAGGAGGAAGCCATCCGAGTGCGGTCCGTACGAGATGAACACCTCCGGCCGGTGGAGGGCCCCGGGATCCGGGAGCCCGGGCTCCGGTGTCCCGCCGGTGGTGGTGGTGGTGGTGGTCGTCGTCCGAATGGTCAGCGCCCCGCCGCGTGGCTCAATGTGCGTGGTGGTGGTCAAGTGCGCCAGCGGATGATGGTTGAGCCAGTCCAGCACCGGGGCCAGCGCCTGGCACTCCTCCGAGGGCGGGCCGTGGCGGTGAAGGGCTGCCCTCGTGCGTGCGTGCGTGCGTGCGTGCGCGTGTGAGAAGGAGGGGGAGAGGAGCAGAGAGGGAGAAGGAAATCCGGCAGCACAAGGGACAGAGGGCAGGGAGGCGGAAGAGGACGGGGCCATGACACAGGGGCCCATGTGGCAGGACCAGGAGGGCGGGCCTGTGCGGGCGTCCGCATGCGCACCTGCGCTTTGCCGTGAGTAGAACACACATCGGGTGTTGACGCAAAACCAGGCCCACGCAAAGAGGTCGTCCGGCAGCTCGGGCCGCTGCGAGCACAGGCGAACGCACTTTGGTTAGATCGCCGCCATGTGTCTTCCCCGGGCCGGCGACAGCAGCCAGAGGGAAAAGGGGTCGAGAGTTGCGAGGAAGCGAGGGGGAGCGGGGGGAGGGGGGGGGGGGGGCAAATGGCACGCACAGTCCACACAGCCGAGAGCCGCGCGAGATCCTGCTGCAGGCGCTGGTGAACACCGGCCACCAAACGCCGGGCCCCGAGCGGCAAGCGCCGCCGGGCCTGCGGGAACACCTGGGGGTGTGCCGGGTGGGAGAGAAACGACTCGCTGCTCGGCAGCGAGGCCAGGTAGTGCTGCCACTCGGCCCCGCGTGGAGGCCCCGCGGTGCCGGGCTCGCCCGAGCCCGGGAGCCAGTGTAGCAGCAGCACCCACAGCACCAAGGCCTGGGTGCCGGTCAGCGCGGGGAGAAGAGCCACGGCACCGGGTGGGCCGAGCTCCGGAGCCCCGGCAAGCCAGCTGGCCATCATACTCCGGGCCAGCTGCGGGGTGACAAGCAGCCGGGGGGTCAAGCGGACGATCTCCCGCGGCGATGGGGCGTCATCGGCGAAGGCCAACCCGCGGACCCCTGTCTCCGGATCGCTGTACGGCTGGAGGGCTGCCACGTGCGGCGAAGCGGCGCATCAAAGTGGCAGTGGATGGGGAGGGGGGCCGAGGGGGGAGGGCGAGGGCGGGGGTGAGAGTGAGAGCGGGGGCGTCAG